ATAGTGGGGTGGAGGTGTGGGTCTGTTGGGTGGAGGTGTGTAATAGTGGGGTGGAGGTGTGTAATAGTGGGGTGGAGGTGTGTAATAGTGGGGTGGAGGTGTGTAATAGTGGGGTGGAGGTGTGGGTCTGTGGGGTGGAGGTGTGTAATAGTGGGGTGGAGGTGTGTAATAGTGGGGTGGAGGTGTGTAATAGTGGGAGGGAGGTGTGTAATAGTGGGGTGGAGGTGTGTAATAGTGGGGTGGAGGTGTGTAATAGTGGGGTGGAGGTGTGGGCCTGTGGGGTGGAGGTGTGTAATAGTGGGGTGGAGGTGTGGGTCTGTGGGGTGGAGGTGTGTCATTGTGGGAGGGAGGTGTGTAATAGTGGGGTGGAGGTGTGGGCCTGTTGGGTGGAGGTGTGTCATTGTGGGAGGGAGGTGTGTAATAGTGGGGTGGAGGTGTGGGCCTGTGGGGTGGAGGTGAGTCATTGTGGGAGGGAGGTGTGTAATAGTGGGGTGGAGGTGTGGGTCTGAGGGATGGAGGAGTTGGTATGCGGGGGAGGTGTGTGACTGTGGGGGAGGTGTGTTACTGTGGGGTTGAGAGGCTCAGGTTTGCTGTACTTACTGTGACTGAACAGGAGCTGGCTGTTTGGCCCTGGGCATATGGGCAGGTGGGCAGGCATATTCACTTGGAAGTCGATGTAACTTGGGGGGAGCGTTTCCTGTCACGGAGAAAATAGTTCCTGTAAAATGTGAGTGAAGCATGAGGAAAGCATTAGGCAAAGCATGCTGGGTAAGCAAATAAGGGCAAGCACAGGCATGCAACTTAAAAACAGCAGAGTCAAGCATGACAAAAATTCAACATAAAAAACAAAATATGGGAACAAAGTGTTTGTTCACATGAATGCTTTGCATGAAAGATCAAGTCAAACATGTTATATATGTGCCAAAGTAATATATTTCTACCTCAACAAGTGCATCAAGTCTCAAGAAAGTCTAGAGAACATTGCATACAACTATTCAGGGATATGTTAAGTGCATCGTAAAACCGTCCAGAACTGTTTTGTTGAGGAATTGGTGAGAATTAGGCCCTAAGTTCTTGTGATTGTGCAGCCTAGTGTTAATGTCAACATCCATGCAGAGGTGTTTACTCATTCAGCCATCCGGGAAGATCCCGTAGAATCCCGGGTAGAATAGGTCTTCAGCAACCCATGCTTGCCTTAAAGGGCGACTATGCTTGTCGTAAGAGGCGACTAACGGGATCGGGTGATCAGGGTTGCTGACTTGGTTGATGCATGTCATCGTATCCCATTCGTGTGGATCAATTTTCATGATGTCAATCACTGGAATGTCTGGTCCTGACAAGATTATTTACAGACTACCGTCATATAGCTGGAATATTGCTGACTGCGGCGTTAAACAACAAACACACAAAACAAACAAAACTCATTCAGCAGATAATGAGAGTGAGTGAGTGAGTGATGACTGCATTACTCCAGCTCTATCCCTATGGCAGGCTGTGAGTAATGGACCAGACAAACCAGTGACTGAAAGGATGTCAGTAAATCCCCACCATCAGGGTACACAGACACACCATCAACCCTGTCACAGAGAACTCATCCCAGACTGTAGGTGATGGGTCAGTAACTCTACTCTACTGCATGGTACTCAAGATGAGTGAGTGAGTGAGTGAGTGAGTGAGTGAGTGACCCTGTCACAGAGAACTCATCCCAGACTGTAGGTGATGGGTCACTAACTCTACGCAACTGCATGGTACTCAAGATGAGTGAGTGAGTGAGTGAGTGAGTGAGTGAGTGAATGAGTGAGTGAGTGAGTGAGTGACCCTGTCACAGAGAACTCATCCCAGACTGTAGGTGATGGGTCACTAACTCTACGCAACTGCATGGTACTCAAGATGAGTGAGTGAGTGAGTGAGTGAGTGAGTGACCCTGTCACAGAGAACTCATCCCAGACTGTAGGTGATGGGTCAGTAACTCTACTCTACTGCATGGTACTCAAGATGAGTGAGTGAGTGAGTGAGTGAGTGAGTGGCCCTGTCACAGAGAACTCATCCCAGACTGTAGGTGATGGGTCAGTAACTCTACTCTACTGCATGGTACTCAAGATGAGTGAGTGAGTGAGTGAGTGAGTGAGTGAGTGACCCTGTCACAGAGAACTCATCCCAGACTCTAGGTAATGGGTCACTAACTCTACGCAACTGCATGGTACTCAAGATGAGTGTGAGTGAGTGAGTTTGGTTTTACGTTGCTTTTAGCAATATTCCAGCAATATCACGGCGGGGACACCAGAAATGGGCTTAACACATTGTACCCATGTCGGGAATTGAACCCGGGTCTTCGGCGTGACGAGCGAACGCTTTAACCACTAGGCTACCCGACCGCCCTGGTACTCAAGATGAGTGAAGGACCCAAATGGTAATTGTTGTTTATAACCATCCCAATATTTAATTATATATATATTTACTTACACTTTATAACTGTGTGGTTTATATGGTACTGTTTTTAAAAAAACAACAACATAAATACAAAAAAGTACACAGGGTGGAAATTAACGCTCACCTATAGGCCCGAGGCCAGTAGAAAATACCTCGGGCTAATATAATCATACTTCTACTTAGCTATAGGCCGTTTTTTTAACACATGCTGTTAATTATCTTCCTCTCGATTCCCCAAATCGCTGCGCTAAACATCTTTCAAGTCTTAAAAGATTGAGTTAAAAGATTAGTTAATAAATATGGCAAATATTTGCCCGTTTTCACCATGTGTAAACTTTGATGGACACCTGTAGCGAACTTAAACTTGCTGACCCGCTGTCTGCTGTATAGGTAACCTATACCTAACAAGTATGCTACAAGACGTGCTACTCCATGTATAACTCTAATGTCATATACTGAACTGAATAAAAAATATTTTTAAAAAAAGAAAAGAAAAAGATTGAAATTTGAGAGTCTGCTTATTTTTTAAGGACTAGTAACAATTCCGAAAGGCCTGTGTTTTTCTAGTTAATTTCCATCACTGGCACGGCACAAGACAGAAGACAAATGATCGTGACAGTGTGACCACATGACTGTGAGACAGTGTGACAGTGAGACTGGCCAAGACTTCAGCGTCACAAGCAGAGACATAAGGGTCAACACATGAAGCTTCAGGATATTTTCTGAGTATGACATATCTCACATGGGATAATATCTCACCGTATTCAAGTTACCAAGACAACAGACAAGTATTTTATTGAAATGGCGATATGAGTTCTATAAGCATGCACGTCAAGCCCATGGTGACTCCAGGCCGATTAGGTGCCCACTACCCTATGCTTGTGGTAATACTGCTGATTCAGCACCTATCTCTCCATAGGGGACACAGCTGATGAGTGAATGTATGATGACTGAATGTATGCTTGTGGTAATACTGCTGATTCAGCACCTATCTCTCCATAGGGGACACAGCTGATGAGTGAATGTATGATGACTGAATGTATGCTTGTGGTAATACTGCTGATTCAGTACCTATCTCTCCATAGAGGACACAGCTGATGAGTGAATGTATGATGAGTGAATGTATGAAGAGTGAATGTATGATGAGTGAATGTATGATGATTGAATGTATGCTTGTGGTAATACTGCTGATTCAGCTCCTATCTCTCCATAGGGGACACAGCTGATGAGTGAATGTATGATGAGTGAATGTATGATGACTGAATGTATGATGAGTGAATGTATGATGAGTGAATGTATGAGTGAATGTATGATGAGTGAATGTATGATGAGTAAATGTATGATGAGTGAATGTATGATGAGTGAATGTATGATGAGTAAATGTATGATGAGTGAATGTATGCTAGTGGTAATACTGCTGATTCAGCACCTATCTCTCCATAGGGGACACAGCTGATGAGTGAATTTATGATGACTGAATGTATGATGAGTAAATGTATGATGAGTGAATGTATGCTTGTGGTAATACTGCTGATTCAGCACCTATCTCTTCATAGGGGACACAGCTGATGAGTGAATGTATGATGAGTGAATGTATGATGAGTGAATGTATGATGAGTGAATGTATGATGAGTGAATGTATGATGACTGAATGTATGATGAGTGAATGTATGATGACTGAATGTATTATGAGTGAATGTATGATGAGTGAATGTATGAGTGAATGTATGATGAGTGAATGTATGATGAGTAAATGTATGATGAGTGAATGTATGATGAGTGAATGTATGATGAGTAAATGTATGATGAGTGAATGTATGCTAGTGGTAATACTGCTGATTCAGCACCTATCTCTCCATAGGGGACACAGCTGATGAGTGAATGTATGATGAGTGAATGTATGATGAGTGAATGTATGATGAGTGAATGTATGCTTGTGGTAATACTGCTGATTCAGCACCTATCTCTCCATAGGGGACACAGCTGATGAGTGAATGTATGCTTGCACACATCTCACATATGGCATATACCACACAGACATCCTTGGAGTAGCAATATATTTGTATTACTAAGTAGTGTAAGTATCACACACAGACATCCCTGGAGTGGTATAATACTTGTATTACACAGCAGTGCATATGACATCACACAAACATCCTCGGAGCAGTATAATAACGCAGTGTATATAGACAATACAGACAAGATGCAGAAGGTGGTTATCTGTAGCAATATGTAGCATTTAGTCTCCAGTAGTTAAGCACGGCAGACCACTGCTCTCATAGATCTTATACGGTTTAGAAACAATAATGCATACTGCAGACAGAACAAGAGATCAATATAGAAGTGGCGAAGGGAACAAAGCAAATAGCTGCCACAGGAAAAAGCTCATATAATGAGATCACTGCCTAAGGCATAACTTTTGCAGAGTCTCAAAACCTAGCTTACATAGCCTCCATTTCCAGCCTTGACCCCATCATCTCCCCCCCCCCCCCCCCCCCCCCCCCCCCTGTTATTGTCTGGTAACTACACAGTGATTTATGGCTTTCCTGCTTGGGTATATCTGCCCCTAACATTGCCTATTGCCACCGAATTCCCCAACCCCTTGTGTAAGGATGCTGGTATGCTGATGCCGTACCTCCCTCAGGTGACGGCGGGTGTTTGGAGATGCCCTCCGACGTGGGGGAGGTGTTGATGAGGGGGTGCACGCCAGGCAGGGGTTTGTCGTAGTGCGAGTCCGGCTCCGTGTCAACGGTCTTCACAGTGTGGCCGGGGATGTCGTACCTTAGCTCCGCATAGGACACTCCTGAAACACAGGCTACATCTTAGACACTGCCACCCTTCCCTCTAAACACTTACTACACCTGCACCCAGAAGCCGAACTTGAGTTAACATTCCGCTGCTACACAGTGGGATCCTCTGGAGCCACAAGGGGTTGAGTTTAGGGGTTAGAGGTTCGTGGACACCATGTGAGGAGATATTCTCAAGCTAAACATTAGTGTGATGTTACTTTCTGTACACTGACTTTTACCAGACACAAGACATAAACTAGGCTCTCCACAAGGGAACGTTCCCATCTAATGTGCGAGAGTGGGGTGTATGAGAGGGTGGAATATGAGAGTGGGGCGTTGGAGCGAGTGGAATATGAGAGAGTGGGTCGTGGGAGAGAGTGGGTGAGTGAGTGAGTGGGTAAGTGAGTGAGTGGTAGCTAGCAGCAGCCAAGTGTTCAGGTGTGTGTGAGGACAGCTGTATCTAACCTTGGTCCTTCTCTGCGGGCGTCACGTTGATGACCGTCCTCTGGGGTACTGTCGGCCGCTGGAGGCGTGGCGTGTCTTCGTCGTCTGCTGGCGGGGTGGGTGGAAGCTGACGTCTGTCAACACAACACAACACAACACATCTCGTCACTCAGCAAACACAGAAAACCTCACACATAATGGAGAAACTTTCGAATACTGACAGTAGTGCTTAATGTTTGTTTGTGTGCTGTCAGCCATGAACACTGGGCCAGACAAACCAGTGATTAACACAAAGACTAACATCCCATGTAGTCAGAGTATGACACAGCAAGTCTGTTTGTCTGTTGCTTAATGCCACACTCAGCGCTATTCAAGCAATATGACGGCAGTCTGAAATATTTGTTTGTTTGTTTGTTGTTTAACGCCGCACTCAGCAGTATTCCAGCTATATGAAGGCGGTCTGTAAAAAAAATCGAGTCTGGACCAGACAATCCAGTGATTGACATCATGAGCATCGATATAAGCAATTGGGATCACTCACTCACTCACTCACTCACTCACTCACTCACTCACTCACTCAGTACACCAGTGTTGGGTACCTGCGACATAATAACGCTTCGTTCAGTTTAGCAATTGTTTGATGCGTCCATATAATCACCATGGCTGGGCGGGTGCGCTTCGCGAGACGAGTATGAACGTTATCAGCCAGGCGAACCACAGCAGGGTCCCTTTTCACAAAGCGATCGTAGGGCTACGACTACCGTAACTCCTATACTTTAAGATAGACTTACGACCGTCTTAGCGCTACGATCTCTTTGTGAAACGGGCCCGCAATGCAGACTGGACGCCAATCCGACACGAAACACATGTACGGATTCGGACCTCTTCTGATCACATAGCCAACAAACAAATACTAAGTTTTAATTAGCCAAGTCATTCATTATGCGATGCATACATATGTATTTGGTAATTCCCTGAAGGTATCCCTAACCAGTAAACAGGCAAATAACATTGTCTAACGTGGAGCTGATCAGGATGATATATTAAATTTGTACTTTCATTGATTGAAATGTATTTATTTCGATTCAGGTTTAAACACGTTGCAAAGCACAGATCCGGATGACAGACACAGCGGTTTTCTGGAGCGTTTCGATATAGAGTTCACGCCCTTGTCAAGCTGAATGACTGTAAGAATGAACATGGATACATCCCTGGATGCGAAAGTAAACACAGAAGTGCTTATCCACTGAAGTTTTCTTATTTACTCACCAACTTGTTGAATGCCAATAAAACAGTTTTGTCTTACTCTATTTTGTACATTTTTATTTTTAGTTCTTGATTTTTTTGTTCATCATAAGTAAGAGCTTGTGTTTGAGTAATGAATACGCCCGGAATTCTTTCTTGTGAAAGCTTAACACCAAAAGTTTGAATATATGTATTTTGATATGATGGTAATGATCGCACAACACAGCCAGATGTTATGTTATTACCTATATGACTTATATATGAAATACATGAGCGAAAAAAAATGATTGTCATAGTATAGTCAACCAGTGTGAAGACCGATACCATGTAGTGCAGGTGAAATATTATTTGAATGCCTTCACACGGGCACTGACGAAGATTGTACAGGGTTATACTATACCTTTGTTTAAGCTGCGCCCTTAAGACGAAACGACTGCATTAGCATGCCGAAGCTGTTGTTGTCGTGGTTGTGATTGACTGCCAGACATGAGGCCGGATGACTCGGGGCACATGCGGTTGTATGTTTGGTTATGCCTGAAATTGTCTGCCCTTTGACTGCTTGGCTTGGAGTGAGTTGCCCCTTTCGGCCTTGCTCGGGGGGTGGGGAAAGGTGGTCGGTGGAGCAGCGCATACTGCGTACCAAATTAGTTGACAACGTTGCGGAAGTAGTTCCTGGATGAATACTACACATTGTATAATACTTGAAGTTTTGTAAATACGCAAGAAAAGCCTAAACCACAAAGACAGACACGACTGATAAAATGGAAAACGAAAAGAACAAAGCTTTTCGTTGATTATGAATAATATTTCTGGAATATTGTATGTTATATTTATATAAATTCTACCATTTCTCAGCGCACTATTTAAACTTTAAATCAAAAATTCCTTTTACTATAAGTAATAACCATTGATGGATGCATGTCAATGAATCTCAAATGCACGACAATTCATTTGGTAAAGCTTGGATGGTGTCGTCCGTTGTCCGTCGTCTGTACGTCAACAATTGATTCCATCGACTTCTTCCTCTGAACCACTTATTGGAAATAAACGAAATGTGACTGGAATTCAAAACTTACAAATGGTGGGGGCTGACACTACCCACCCCCCTTCCCCACCCCCACCCCCACACTGAGGGGCAGGGCCATATAGGGGTATTTGGATGCCTCGGCGCCCCCCCCCCCCCCCCCCCCCCTTCCTCCTCCCCCCCTTTCCTCCCTCTCTCTCCCCCCACTCCCACCCACCCCAGCCTCCTTCTCTCGAGGCCCTTCAAAATGGCGTTATCTTTTCCACGAAACTTAATTAGGGCGATGTGATGAGCGTGACTGTTCTTTGAAAATGGATAGATGCGACTTTAATTATTGTCATGCAGCTTCGGATGATCTGAATACAAACATGCTCTGCTTCAAATAAACACTTTTTTAAAATGTAATACTTACAAAATGTTCAAGAGGGATCGAACTCAAAATTTCCTCCTTCACAGATGCCGTAGAGCAACACGCTACCCATTCGGCCACATCGCCGTTGATTAAAGAGGGAAGAATTTTGAAGGTTATGACTGCAATGTACTAGTGTTTTTCAAAGAACAAAGTACATGGGACTAGATACGTTGGTATTTTTTTCAACTTTCTGTGTAACACAAGCTGCACGATGTTGGGACTTTCCCGATTGCACACAATATTGTCGCTAATGTATATTCTGATTTCTAAAACTACAAACGACCGGTGTCCTCTCTGCTGTGTTGCCACCCAAACAGCCGAGAAAATTTACAATGGTGTAGGAGTAATGGCCCATACACCAAGTACGGATCGAGTGATCAGATGAACTGAATCGCACATGACCCTTCTCAAAAACAATTTCTTAAAACATCAATAGTCTTTACATACACGTCTCTTCACGCACATCTTGATAGCACAGAGGGAACGTTGCTGCGCTGACGATGACAAGGTTTCACGTTCCAAACGCAGAGGAGTTGATAATCATTTTTTCATGTGCAAACCTTATAGAATAAAGTTCACTTCAAACACCCCGTGAGAGGAAAGTGGGACAATGTGTCAAATGAGGTTTCTACCGCCTGTCAATCACATTGTTGCAATGATGCTTGGCTGAAATGGCAGTACTATTGCGTAGTCCTGTATAGATTTCTGGAGCAAGATGGCTTTACTATTGGTGTAAAAAAGGTATTATAAATACCACAGGATTGGATATGGCTCATATCTACCATTTAGGTTTGTTTCGTGCCGTGCCGGCTGTGCTGGGCTGGGCTGGGCTGGGCTGGGCTGGGCTGGTGGGGCTGGGCTGGGCTGGGCTGGGCTGGTGGGGCTGGGCTGGGCTGGGCCGGGCTGGGCTGGGCTGGGCTGGGCTGGGCTGGGCTGGGCTTCAAGTTTTTATTAACGATATGTGCCGTGAAAACAGCTGGCCAGGTCAATAGGAAAGAACCAACTAATGCGGCAGAAAAATAGTTGAAACATAGATATCTGAAATATAGCTAAAGTTTAATACTGTGGCTCCAAGTCTGATCCAAAGTATGAGGTGTAGCAGCCAACGAATGTTCATTGCCTTTAACGTTCTCTGATCATGTCTTACTTAAGTTTAACGCCACCGTAAAACATTCATTCAGCAACGCATGTATATATTTACAAAAGATAATTACAAGCAAGGAATCGAACTCCCCATCACAGTTTCAAATAGCGCGACTCGCTGCCGTATATCTCTGTAAATGGGTGTGTCAGTTTTCCTGTCATACCTTCACATTTTGGGAGGTACGCGAAAGGAATCAGGCATGCACGTGTTCATTTGGTTATGCGCGGGAGTATACAAATTGTGGTTCCAGGACAATATGTTTCCAGAGTATATTTGTTTGCCAAAATAATCTAATAATTGACAAGAAGTGCAATAAATATGTCTATATTACAAAGGTGTGAATGTAAGGGGGAAATGTTAGGTCTCACCAGCTTATTAGTAGGTAATTGCCTTGCAGTCAAGTCAACAACAGATTTAAATGCTTTTATTTCTTAATAGTCCAGGCCCTTAAGGGAATATCTCGCGTTGTGTCTACAAGCACCAAATTTCGCACTGGTGTAGACCAGAACATACTAAATTCACCTTTGGAGGGCAAATAGCATTGAACATGATACAAAACATCACCAGCATGGGCATCTGCAGCTGGTGCAATAGATTTACCCTTCAACTGGAAGTTATCATTAGACTTTGCCCAGCTTTTTAGATGTGCATCTACGGTGTCAGTTGCCACCTTCCGTATATTGGTCTGGTCATCTCCATCACAGATAATGCAGCATTTAACATTACTGCCTTTTCCATAGGATGCCCCCGCTGATCTGAATTTTTGGGGTGGACTCTGTGTTCATGTTTTTGACGCAGCCTCTTCTTACGAGAACTACTACAGTAGCTCCTACATGATTTTTGATACTTAGCATTATAGGATCTGAGTGTTGCAACAATACCTGATCCATTTTTTACTTGGTCAAAGAAGACTGAAATATCCAACTGAACGGCATTGATTTCCTTAAAGTCAGTCAGGTTTCTGCCAAGAGTGAAAAGTCCTTCTGCCTTTGGTGTTTGCAACTCTTCACTTTTATCTGACTGGCAAACACAGCAAAGTCCCCTACAGAGATGGAAAAATAGGAATACATTCACTGGACAAGTAGCCATATACGCCACCTACGTGTGATTAATGCACAATTAGTCATGACCACCTATATCAGCGTTTCTTGAAGAAGTAAAAATACATGCAAGGAACAATTCATGTGACCTTTATGTGTTCAGTAATATAAACCATCAACCACCAGCAGTGCGTTATACTCATTTGCAGACCAGAAAATAACATTATTATGTGACATCCAAATTAAACCTGAACCTTAAGTATGCCCCTGGAAAACCTCTGGACAAAGCGTATTTTGTATGTCAACACAAAGCTCAAAAACCTATGAAAAGAGCCTTCATTCATGATCCTATGACTTTTGGTTATTTAAATAGGACAGAATCCAATAGGGATTGGCGGCCATCATGGATTTTACTAATATGGCGGCCCCCATTGATCACCGGCTTTGGCGCCCTCCAAAAATGAAGTTCTGGTCTACACCTGTCTACACCTACAGATCTCCTGGTTCCCTAACCCTAAGTCTGTTAAAGGGGAGCCCTACCGATGTCCTGGTTACCTTACCCTAAGACTGTTAAAGGGGAGCCTTACCCTTATGCTGATTCCCTAACCCTAAGACTGTAAAGGGGAGCCCTACCCATGTCCTGGTTACCTAACCCTAAGACTGTTAAAGGGGAGCCCTACCCTTGTGCTGATTCCCTAACCCTAAGACTGTTAAAGGGGAGCCCTACCCATGTCCTGATTCCCTAACCCTAAGACTGTTAAAGGGGAGCCCTACCCTTGTCCTGATTCCCTAACCTTGAGACTGTTAAAGTGGAGCCCTACCCATGTCCTGATTCCCTAACCGACTGCTAAAAGGGAGCCCTGCCCTTGCCCTGATTCCCTAACCCTAAGACTGTTAAAGGGGAGCCCTACCCATGTCCTGATTCCCTAACCCTAAGACTGTTAAAGGGGAGCCCTACCAATGTCCTGGTTACCTAACCCTAAGACTGTTAAAGGGGAGCCCTACCTTTGCCCTGATTCCCTAACCCTAAGACTGCGAAAGGGGAGCCCTACCCTTGCCCTGATTCCCTAACCCTAAGACTGTTAAAAGGGAGCCCTACCCTTGCCCTGATTCCCTAACCCTAAGACTGTTAAAAGGGAGCCCTACCCTTGCCCTGATTCCCTAACCCTAAGACTGTTAAAGGGGAGCCCTACCTTTGCCATGATTCCCTAACCCTAAGACTGTTAAAGGGGAGCCCTACCCTTGCCCTGATTCCCTAACCCTAAGACTGTTAACGGGGAGCCCTACCCTTGTCCTGATTCCCTAACCTTGAGACTGTTAAAGTGGACCCCTACCCATGTCCTGATTCCCTAACCGACTGCTAAAAGGGAGCCCTACCTTTGCCCTGATTCCCTTACCCTAAGACTGTAAAAGGGGAGCCCTGCCCTTGCCCTGATTCCCTAACCCTAAGACTGTTAAAGGGGAGCCCTACCTTTGCCCTGATTCCCTAACCCTAAGACTGTAAAAGGGAGCCCTACCCCTGATTCCCTAACCCTAAGACTGTTAAAGGGGAGCCCTACCTTTGCCATGATTCCCTAACCCTAAGACTGTTAAAGGGGAGCCCTACCCTTGCCCTGATTCCCTAACCCTAAGACTGTTAACGGGGAGCCCTACCCTTGTCCTGATTCCCTAACCTTGAGACTGTTAAAGTGGACCCCTACCCATGTCCTGATTCCCTAACCGACTGCTAAAAGGGAGCCCTACCTTTGCCCTGATTCCCTTACCCTAAGACTGTAAAAGGGGAGCCCTGCCCTTGCCCTGATTCCCTAACCCTAAGACTGTTAAAGGGGAGCCCTACCCATGTCCTGATTCCCTAACCCTAAGACTGTTAAAGGGGAGCCCTACCTATGTCCTGATTCCCTAACCCTAAGA